GTGAAGCCATGCTTGCATTAGGTGCCTGGGCGAGACACGCGTCCCACAAAAATGCACCCAGTGCTGCAAGCTTACGGCGAGAGTAAGGAAGGTTATCGGGACGTGAGGCTCAAAATGATTATGTTCGGCGAGGCTTTGGAGCCTGATGTCATGCGTGCCTCTGCTGCTGTGAAACACAAGCGGATGGCAGCTTGTCCTGGGATGACCATTGCTAAAAAATCTAAGGCGTCCCTGACACGATCCCGCCTGCCTACCGGCAGAGCAAGATGCCCAAAGAGACCATCTGGGACTACCACCCCACAACATCTAGCTGTTCCCAGGGAGATCGCTCACACCGGCACCAAGAGTGTGCGGGGCATCGGCTCCGGCAGCAGTGCGAAAGCCGGCACCGGAAACAGCTACTCAAGCGGCGTCGGCTTCATGAGTGTCAACTCCTCCGGCACTGCATGTTGAAGCCTTGGTCCCCGCACCACCAGCACTGTGTGCAACACTGGCACCACACACATCATTGGCACCTTCAACATTGCCCCCGAACTGGGTCTGTTCGGCACCGAGCAATTCTCGCTCGCCCCGAGGTCCCTGGCTGCTATCAAAATTGACAAGGCTTCCTTGCCTGGTAAAGCCTTACCAAAGGAAACTTACAAACTTCACCTACTTTTTCTCCAGGACCGTCTCTTTCACCACCAAGGCATCGACGGCACCAGGACTAGAGTGTCTCTCCTGCCGATGAAGCACACAGGTGACCCACCTATAGGGACGCAGTCTGTGTAGAAGCGTGACGCTCCCTGTCGCGTTCTCACTCACTGAGATGGTCACCAAGTCGTAGACCACCTAGATTATCACCACGGCGAGCCTACTATATCTGCAGTGCATGGTCTTAGTGATACTCCTCTCCAGCACACTCAGAAAGATATTATGGGAACTACTGTAGGTCTGACTATGGTCATTCCCACCATGATCACATCTTACCGTCCTACAGAGGGTCTTCCTGTGGCTGTCGATCACCCAGTGTTCAGTACTTACCCCAGCATTCACAGCAGTTACATTCACCTCCTCCATCGAAAAGTCCAGCCATACTGCATGAGCAGTTGGAACCGAAAGAAGGACAATTGTCCGAACTAGAAGATCCTTACCGGGCATTTCTCCAAGTGATTGTTC